TTAAAATGGTTTCTGAAGATGACGATAGATGTCATCACGTCCTGGATCATGAACCCAGGGATTCACAAATTGCAATCAGTATTCTGATTCTCGGCAACATCATCCATACATACATGACTGACATTTTGTCAGCTCGTAAAGAACACAGAAGCCAGAAAAACAAAAACTCATAATTTTTGACTTATTATAACTCGAAACCTGTCAAAGCCAATTCTTCTCAATTCGCATCTCTTCGTGATAACTGTATGTGAACACGAACCTTAAAACAGGGATTAAGCCCCAGGTAATGTGCTCAGGTGTTCTTTACTTGATAAGTAATTAAGGTAATGCATTATTATAGAGCATGTATCTTCTATCTTAGACGTGGGTTTGAAATATTACACGTAACTGAAGAATTTCCAGTAATGAATTTTACTTAGAATTACAAATTGTCATATCACACCTTATATTTTATTCATTAGAGTTTTCTATCGCACCTGCTGATAGATGGTAATGTGATCTTGGAACTCATTAATTGCATCCTTGCATTGTTTTAAGAGTCACTCTTAACGCAATGTTTTGTTAGGGTTTGATCTAAATGTTCATGGTCACTTGATGGTAGATGATTCTTAGCCCTAAGGGACAACAGAAAATGTGACCAACGTTGTTACAGGCTAACTGTTACTGGGGTTCCCTTTTCATAACACAAGTATGATCTCCAATTAAACCTAAAGCAATGGGGCCGTAATTCAACCAACGAAGATGGTTTTCAACTCTCATATTCTTAGTGAGTCATCGGGAATGTCGTTCCGGAATACTTATTTTCTTATTTCACCCCTTGTCAACACGTTTTCAATTAACAAAACTAACATCTTGTTATTTTGAGTGTTACATAAATATACATGGACTCTCTCTTGGGAGTCTTCCAGCACGTCTTTAACTATCTAGTCTATCTCGTTCTATCTGATACCTCGTTCTATCTCAGCAATACGTTCGTCACTCGTGGGGTATGGGGTGTATCAATGTTGAAGTTCCAGAGTGACGATAAATTCAACTTTGATAGATTTTTTGTATCGGTGCGTTCATTTTCCTGATTTTTCTTGAATAACTATGTGGGCAAAATGGTACGATCAGGCATGGGCAACTATTGAAAGCCCATGGATCAGGGCATGATGATATCTCAGTTTCAGACATTCAACTTCTGTACCATTTTAATATTCAGTTTGATGTACTTAGCTATACAATAAACAATAGTAGATCATTCAGGTCAAATGTACTTTTGAGGTTACCGTTCAATGTTGAGTTGATCGAATGTGGAAGTTGGCAATTGATTTGTTAGTCCGAATAGTATTAATTCATGTTATGCTCAGCTCATTCGATGAATGGAAAACTTCATTTTCCGATAGTGAGCTCCTAAACAACACTTCGAAAGCACTGAGTCAAAGTATCTTCTAACAAATGATTTAAAAACAGTAAACAGCTCATGCCAACGTAAACGGCTAACTGCACACCGCTAGCAGACAACCTATAGTGAAATAGCGGTAAACAATTAACATTGTAAACTTCGACCAAAATGAACTAACAAATAGATCTTGCTGGATAATCATTGCACTTTTTATGACTAGGCGTCGATTTTTATTTTTAAACCCGATTAAGACAGCCTCATACACTGGAGGTTGTGTTTTAATATAAACTGAAGCCCCAAATCAAATGATGTGCTTTAGATTGAAAGGTTCTCCCCAAAGGTAAAAAATAAACAAATTGGTTTCAGATAATATATCTTCACTTTCATTCTGTACCTTCCGAAAAGCCAGAGGGGTTTTAGCACAAGCGGCTCTTCAGTAAAACTGCTTATATGCCGACAATTAGTAAAGTGCTCTTGAACAACGAAAACGGCAAAATTGGAATTCTCAAACAAATATTTTTGAAGATAAGTGTATATTCCCTTATGATACGACAGACCCCGAGTCATCCTTTGCCAAGGGGGGGGGGTGACTTTTCAGAGAATCCAGGGGGTTCATATTTGACAACTTCGAAAAATGTATTATTTTGAAATATTTTTTTGGGGCAGGTTCACTCAAGGCCCCTCTCGCTACAGGCCTGTATGAGATTCTATGAAAAGTACCAGTCAAACAGTATAACATACATATTCCCTAACATGAATCTCGTGCAATTTGTGCACTTTTTGGCCATCCACTCCACGCTCGAAGATGTGCCCCTTATATTTGGACTGATTGCTCTCGTGAATATTCTAGTTATTATTCATTTCAGTGCCTTGGCTCATAAACCAATGCCATAATCTAATAAGACATTTGTCTTTGTCAGAACTAATAATTGGAGTTAGCTATTATTGCTTGATATCTGTCAAAATGATGGACTGCTTTAATAGGCGGACTTGGCTGATGGAACGACGAGATGCAACCAGTGTGAATTAACTAAGATACATCCTGGAGAGGGTAAGGAAGGTGAAGTCCAACAAGTACACTTGAGTATTGAGCTCAAAAATATCCACTGGAACTATTGCCTCGAAATAATCCAAATGGTACGTGGTCGAAAGTTGAAAGCTGATGATTTAACGTTTGGACGTGTTTCACTTTTTACAGTTAATGCATAAATGCGGTTAACATTTAATATTTTGACGCGGATTTCACATGGAGAACGAGTCCGCGTATGCCAAATTAATACCCGGGTTTGGGTGTAAGATCATTAATCTTAATTTTGTCAATTTGTTATTCTCTTACTGGTTGTTGTTGAAATAATCAACATCTTGATGTGGTTTTGAAATTATTAAGTTTGTTTTTAAGGCTAAACACGAGTTTCTGTCAACACTTGCACGTCATATAGCTCCAAGTTAGCTAGGTTAGCAACATTCTAGGGAAACAAGACACAGGGTAAATAATATCGCATCCTAGAAGAGAATAGACAGTTTTTGAAGCAGAGTACCAGAAGGTCCTTACACTAATCAGTTCTAGACTTTTATGCCAAGCACCATTCCTTTTCGGATCAATTCATCAAACATTGTATTGAGACGTATAGACAAGACTTTACAGACACAATATTTCGGACGGAAATCCAAAATGACCACCTAATCATACCAAAATACTAATCAGTTCTAATATTCACTAAATGTCTTGTAATCCCCAAATTTACTTGGCTTCACTTATTAAAACCGACTGAATATCATCAGTATGGTTTAGTTATTGGCAGTTTGTCTAATATGAATAAATCCAATTACTTTATTTCTTATATCGAAAATGATATTGATGGAGTTAACTTGTAACGACCAATTTGATTTATTAAAACTATTTGAACCATATAGCAGATACGATGCAACGATAAGATATCTTATAACCATACTCCAGACGCTTAAACGTATATTTTTCTGCAACAATAAGTCCCCGTCTTTGGTTCGTTCTATTTTCCTGACTATTGTTTGATTTCACAAAATATTAGGTAGTTTAAAAAACGCACAACAAGCATCAAGTATGTCCTCGGAGATAATAGCAGTGATGCATTTTATAGTCGATGTTATGTTTGTGAGATTTTTGTAATTTTCGCAAAGAATCTGACGCCATCTAAAAATTAAAATTATAGAACTTCAGATAAATGTGTGCTTGAATAGCATATTGGCGGTGATAAAGATGTCAGTCTAATAACTTCAACTAATATTAAGTAAATGTTGTGAGTTGTAAGATTTTTGAGTTTTTAAAATTCCTACAAACGAAAACTTTAACATTCGGAAGGAGTAAATCGGTAACACGTAAAAGGGTCGGGAGTTAATGACTGTCCACGTGGGTAAGGGAGGAAATGAGTTTTTGCATTTTGTTTTTCTGATGGCCTAGCTTGATTATCGATGTTTGTTGACGCCCACTTAAATATAATCGACTTCGTGCGTTGAATCCACTCAAAGCTTCATCTGAAGATCATCATTTTTATGTCGCATTATCATCTTTTTATTTCGTTTTTAATGCGATAGAAAATTGTAAGTATATAACGATAGGCACCATATTTAATGTTTTCCAATTGTTCAAACAGCAATGTGCGTTCTATATTAAGTATCAATAAGCACATTACAAAACTCCATAAAAACATTCTCAAATAGTGTAATAGAATACCGTACAATACTTTATTACTTTGTTTTTCTGGTTGAAAATTATGATAAAAGTGACTAGAAATTGAGATGATTCCACCAGGCAGGTATACATCCCTCTAAAAGTATATACTTGTAACTAATGACTTTGTTGAACATAACTTGAACTTTCTTGAACATAACTTGAACTTTCTTGAAACATAACAATTTTTGTTGAATAAAATTAGATAATTCAATTCTCTACTTAAATGGATGGATATATATATTCTGTATATTTGACTTGCGGCAAACCTACCATTTCCATTGGTTTACATTCGAATGTTGATTTTAAAAAATTAATCAACACTTTCCTGCCTATTGTAATTGTCCAAAAATTGGAGGTATTGGAAATGATGTCCAATTTATGTTTGCAGCGGTAAAAGTAGTTTTGTCTAACAGATTATGAAAATATGAACTCAAACATAACGAGGCTTTAACACGTAATCCAATGGTGGAGTAATAATTGCCAAACATTTGGAGGGGAGTGTATCAATTGTCAAATCACACATACTGCTATATACTTTTAAAGTCCAAATCCTCCACAGTAATCCTAAGATATTTTGAATTCACAACGATATGTAAAATACACAAATAAAGGAATCCATTAGCTTCCCACACGATCGATGTTTTTCTAGGCTCCTATAATTACCAAAAAGTCTGTTGATTGTGCAACTTTCATATTATTCAAAATATTTTATAGCTATTTATGATGAAAATATTAATATTAACCCCTTTAAATGATATGGCATCCATCTGCATCCACGCATGTAGTGAGTATTACTGCAACTTTATAGACACATAAACAGGAATTTTATTCTATTGAAATCAAATGTTTTTATAGTTTTTATGACAAATTATTAAATATGCACATGCTAAGAGCACGTACGCCGAAAGAACAACTATTCTCTCTGGGAACGTATCAAAATTTGTCGAACTTGACATATGGATCGATGCTTAAAATACTAATTTACTTCATCAACTTGTGATCCCATCCCTTACTTTAGGAACATATTGTCAGAAAATAGATATAATTGTCTGCATGCTACACATGGGCATATTTGCCAACGTGCACACATCGTACGCAGCAGAAGGATTTGCTGAAAGTCTTCGCCAAAGGAATGGATTTGTTTCCAATACTTGGACTCTTAATTGTGTTCAGCCTGACAGGAGTAAGATATGACCTTTACTTACTAAAATATTTTTTCATTTTGAAAATTATGGTTGCTTAGTATTATTTTCCTCGCTCGCTGAGAATACATCCCACTAAATAGATGATAAGTTATTGTGGTGAATCTTTGGAATTGACTCGAACTGTGTCATGGAGGATCTATGTGACAAAAAATAATTTTAATATTTCAATGCTAAAATAGCCAAAACGAGTCGAACCTTACCATGAAAGTTTTAAAGTGTGTTTATAAAAATTATAACCATAAGTGGCAAAATGAGAGAACGCCAGCGAGCATTAGACAACACAGCAAGGAACGCCACTACCTGACCGGTCCTGAGGTATATTGTAAACAAACCCACAATGTTTCATGATCAATCTATGATCGCAAAAAGAAACAACAAGTTTAACACTTCTCCCATCTTTCAGGAATCAATACCACGTGGCATTTCTTTATCGTATGTATGGCAAGAAAGGCCAATGGTTTCTTTTCGAGCCCATGTACAGATTTTATTTTACATTTTACACCAACTTTTACCTATCTATTTATAATAATGTACAGAATGTACCATAGATAGTTTACTTGGCTTGCAGATAAAAGTTGAAGGGGTTATTAACGATCCGTATCAACTTGAGCTAGACGATGCTTCGAAGCAAGCAAACGAGGAAGTTCTGTTAAATGATGATAACATCAATGAACTTGACGATGAAGCCACCGATGCCCTTCTAAAGGAAAAGATAGATTCCATGCTAAAACGTGAAGTTGCGGAAAACATATATGAGCAGCATGCTTCATCGGGACAGGCGTCCGATAGAACAGAGCTAGCACGACTTAAGCGAGGTTTAGGTGACTACGGCACGTGGTGTGGCGCAGATAACACGCAATTCGGAAAACCGGGCTGCAGTTGCGCCTTGGGGATAGCCGCGTGTAGGTAAGTGTTCGATTGGAGCGCTCACATGAATACTATAGAATACGGTGTTCAGTGTTGTGGAAGTATCATGCAAAGTAAATTTAAAGGTGGTAATGCAGAGATTAGAAGATTACCTGGAAGAAGCAATATAGTGGATGAGATGTTTATGTTCAGTTGTTTTCACCGGAGACAAATATGAAAATGACAGGAACAAAACAGAGACAGATAGAAATTATTAGCTACTGACTTCAGCAAATATTTCCTTATGAAATGACATTGGATTCTAGCCCCGTTTGCATCTATACATCAAACTGCAGCTTAGCTGTTTGATTTTGACTCCCGACATTTCTTGAAGAATAATTCATTTAAGAGTGCCGCAGCATCACTAATAGTATAGATCGTCAAGACATGTTTCGGTCTGAGCTTTGAGTGACTTCCAAAAAAATAAAAGAGAGTTGTTTTTCTAGGTCTTCATTGACCGCCAAATCCCCATTATCAGTGGTTTCACTATCACCATGCGGGACAAATAATCATTGCAACCCTCGCTGATTTCCTTATATTCTTGCACATCAGTCCCTTCAAGGTCAATGATACATATTTTATCCCTGACTGTGAATGGTGTCCATTACGCCTTACATCTAACCAGAGCCCACATTTTGCTTCTGGTTAAAATCATTGTAATACGCTATTACACTGAGAAGAAATTAGAAGATATGCTTTATCTTCATGCGTAACAATCATTTTAATTTATTTTTGGCCTATAATTTAGGAAAAAATACCCACCAATCGATGCTTTAGACGAGGCTTGTTTGAAGCATGACCATTGTATAGAATGTGCGGCTACTTCCCCTGGGCCACTGCTCCACTGGTGCCGCTGCGAGGAGGGCATCTACTACGGGGCCAAAGCTGCAACGTGTAGACTATTCAACGTAAGGTGCCACGCCTACCGGAAGGCCGTCATGGCCATCTTTGGAGTTATACCCTGTAGATGCACCAAGAAAATACTTCCTTGTGGTGTGAAAACATGCACGAAGTCGATAACGTTCCCATGCTGGAAGATTTGTGAAAAGAAGGTTTGGTTTATAACAGTTAAGTACCCGTGTCTAAGGACTTGCACGAAAACAATTACTTTTCCATGTGGTGTAAAGTTCTGCGATAAGACGATAACGGTACCGAATTTCAGACTTTGCTAGAGTGTGTGAATTCCTGAACGATAACGATTATATAAAACGTCGAAGTAGCTGTCAATCGTTATG